CGTAAACCCTACCACAGCGGGCGCACCGAGTTCTAAATCAACCACACAAGAAGTCGCTTCACGCGAAGTACGACGCCACCCACAAACCCTGGTGTGAGGTGGCGCCATCTTAGCATGGACTATCGGCCACTGCGCAGCAAGACGCCCTAAACCCTAAACCCTAAACCCTAAACCCTAAACCCTAAACCCTAAATCCAGCCTTCTGGGTCCTCAAAAGTTGCTCCGAGCCCTGAGCCCCGAGGCATGCACCATGCCTCCGGCGAAGTCGCGCGAGCAAGAGGTGCCGGTTACAGGTTTAGGGTTTAGGGTTTAGGGTTTACGGTTTAGGGTTTAGGGTTTACGGTTTAGGGTTTAGGGTTCTAGAGTTGGGCCTATCGGGGAAATTCAGGTGATCTGGTACGCATTCCGCGCCTTTGACGGACAAGACGAGAAGGAGGTTACTGTGGAGAAGGTTCTGCAGGCGGCCAGGCTCTTGGAAGCCCGCGGCTGAGGTGATCCCACGGAGCCCTATGCAGAATCAACGAGACTAGAGCCCCTAAGGTTTAGGGTTCAGGGTTTTAGGGTTTTAGGGTTTTAGGGTTCCCATCCTGATTTGAGTCGCATTCCTCAAACAAGGGGCATTGGCTTTGCCGGATTCTGCTGTTGACAGCTTGTGCAGAGATTTCTTTGAGAAGTTGTTCCTGAGATTTACACACTCAACTCAGGGGAAGCTCCAGGCCAGCGAGCAAATCGCGGAGCTCCTCTCTGAAGCTTGTCAGCATGTCTTATGCACTTCAAGCTAGGGCTTGCAGTCGGTGCCGCCTCTAGTTCTAGATGGAATCTATTAGCGCAGGACCGGCTCCCATGTTAAGTTCGTCTACAGTTGCTTGACGGAGCCCGACGACAGGAAGCAGACATGCTTGTGGCCATGGAAACTGTAGCCTTTCAATGGGGAGTTGTGCTCCGGGGGGTCAAAACTGGAGCCATGTCAGTCTCAACCTCTAGCAGACTCCAGCTCTCTCGTCTCAGCTCTCGTAATGTGGTTGCCTGTGTCTCGCTCACGGCCAATTGAAGGTCTTACAAGCCGAGCTCCAACGTCTCCGCGTGCCTATGAGGCGCAACAGCCGTCAGCCCTTGATCAAGGTTATCTGGGGCACCTCCGCAGGCGCGAACGCATCGAGGAGGCGGAAGATGAGGACGCATCCAACGTCAGCACAAGCAGTGTCAAGGTCTTTGCTATGACATCGAGGGTTTACTGAGCTTCTTCCGATTGCATATTCGCCGATCTCCAGGACCCGGATGCCCAGCTGCGTGTTGAAGGCGCATGGCACATGTGCTCCCAAACCATAAACCATGCTGCCCCCCTTGCCAGGACTTAATGTTGCAATTCGATGGTTGCGGCGTATGATCCGTAATTTCTGTTCCTTCCATGACTATCATGTCGATGACGACTGTTCGGAAGATTGCTCCGAACGATGATTGCGATGATGGCTACTATGTGCATTGCCTGCAGGGCTTGCGAGACTACCGAAGCAAAGGAGCACAAGAGCCTGAAACAAAAGTCCGGCAGCCAAAAAGCGGAGAGCTTCACCAATCTGGCCATAGGCACCCAACAACAGCATTGACCTGCCCTTGTTGCACATGCCAGGAGAGGAGGAAGAGGGAGAGGCAGGCTTTCTGCATGGGTTACCGTGTCAAAAGGCAAGCTGGTATTGACACGCAGGATCTGCTGGCAGCCTTGTGCCACGAGTGACTGCTTAACTTCTTCTGAGTATACTGGAAGTCTTGCAAAGGCAGAGTGGGCACACATGCCCAGCCAAGCCAGCCAAGAGCCACGTGCCCGCAATTCCGTAGCCTTGCCAGCAGACGGTAGTGCCCTCTGTCTGTGTGTGCACCGTTGTGGAGCTGAAAGGATGGTGATGTGACACACATCCTGTGTGTGTCTCTTCCGATGTTCACGCTGATATGCCAAGGATGACCTCCACTCTCAAGTCCATGTCCGCAAATGTCAGCTTCAAGGACATGCTCACAACTTCCGCTCGATTAAGCCAAAGTGCATGCACTTGTCTCGTACATGTACGCTTTATCCGGTAATGTTTAAAAGATGCCAGGAATCCCGCAGGAATCAGCACGGGCCATGGACTCAGCAATGTAGTGATCTGATACATTGCAGACTCATTCTTGTCACGCGAGCAGCCGGCTGTGGAGGAGCAAGTCAAAGAAGGCGCTGCGGAACGATTGACTGTCAGTCGTGCCTGCAGTACGTACCCAGTGCGAAGCAACAGGTTTAGCACACCTGTTTCTGGGATTTTCTGGGCCGCTTGGCGGAGCAGCTTATAAACTGCACAACCCACGACCAGCGGGAATCCGATTCGTGTCACGTCCGTGGCAGGGCTCCTGGCTGCAGCGCAAAGGCCAAGCGATGATCGAGCACGCCAGGCTGGTATCGTGTCGGAAGAGCTTATTATGGGATGACCATGGAGGGACTGCAGCACAGCCCAGCAATTTACTGTGTCGCTGCACAAGCAGAGTGTTTTCTCCATCTGGATCCGCGTGGAGACTTCAGCATACGCCTGGGACAACACGCTGTAGTGAAAGATGGTGCCGGGTCCTAGTTCCGTGACAGGCGCTGGGTCACTCGCCCACGCCTGCTGGACTATGGGGAGCTGGTGTACTTGTGCCCCTCGGGTTAAGATTATTGTTGGCTACTTGTCCTTTCCTTTGGCTCAGGGCACCGGCAACTTGAGCTGGGTAATGCCAGCCAGTGGATTTCATGGCCTTTGGCCTCCGTAGAGACGAGCCGATCCTGGCACAGCCGCAGTCCTTTGCTGATTCGGATGCTGCCTGGTGCCGGACTTTTTTAATCGGTGTAACTCGCCACGAGCTGGTCCGCATGATGCCTACGCCTTAAACCCTCTAAACCCTATAAACCCACGAGAAATTACGCCACCTTCCTAGGTGACACACGGCGGAAGGGCGTTGGCCCGGGCAAGATCCTTTACCGCGCTGCGCGCAAGGCTGCTCTTCAGATCCTGACGTGTGCACGCATCTGCCGGTTTCCCTAAACCCTAAACCCTAAACCCTAAACCCTAAACCCTAAACCCTAAACCCTAAACCCTAAACCGTCTTGAAGCGAGGAGTTCTTCAGGGTAATGCTCAAGTACGACTTGGACTTCTATGAGGTGGTGCACAAGGCGCAGAGTCGGATCTCTTTAAGTTGAAAGGCCATCAGGCCTTTCTTGCGCTCTCTGCGTCTTCAGGCCCTGCTCTTCTTGCTACATGTGGGAGTTTCCGAAAATAGGGGACCCTGATATGGTACCCTAAATAATAGGATCCTTATTATAAGGACCCCAAAATAAGGTACCCTAATGTTCGGAAACTCCCGTCCTCTAGAGTTCCTGGAGGCTGCAAGCCTGCCCCCCCCTTCACGCGCACGTGATTGCTCGTGTAAGTGGGCGAGGGATTGTGGTCACGAGGGTTTTTTCCGTGAAACTGATGTTGCAACTACGCCCCAAGGTTTCATGAGCCTAGGGAGATACCCTAAACCCCTAAACCTCTAAACTCCTAAACCCCCCCTAAACCCTAAACCCCTAAACCCCTAAACCCCTAAACCCAAAACCCTAAACCCCTAAACCCTAAACCCCCTAACCCCCCAAACCCCTAAACTCCTAAACCCTACAACCCCCCAAACCCCTAAACTCCTAAACCCTATACTCTATACCCAAAACCCTAGGGAGGCCTTGCAGTGAGAAGGGTGTGAGCTTGGATGCAAAAGCAGGTCCCGGAGTTGGCGTGGCCTCCCGAGGCCGGACTTCCCCAAACTTTCCCCCCGGACGTCTTGAAGTTTAGGGTTCTGGGTTTCGGGGTTTAGGGGTTTGAGGGTCTAGGGGTTTAGGCCCTAAGCCCTAAACCCTAAACCCTAAACCCTAGGGGTTTCTGGGGTCTAGGGGTTTCGGAGTTTTAGGAGTTTAGGGGATTCGTGGGAGTCTTCGGAAGCCGCGAAGCTCCAGGCGGGGGCTGCTGCTTCGACCCCGTGGTCCTGCTACTGTGCGGGCTCCCGGACATGGCTGGCAAGATTCATGACCCCCTTCAGGGACCTCCCTATAATATAGGGTACTAGAGCCCCTAAGGTTTAGGGTTTTAGGGTTTTAGGGTGTAGGGTTTTAGGGTTTAGGGCTTAGGGTTTAGGGTTCCCTATCTGAAGTCAGGTGCCACGGGGGGCCTCTACTCTTCGAAGCAGCAGAAGCTGCAGGAGAAGGAGAGACGGCGGCAGGAAAAGACCAAAATGAGCTTCATTTGGGGGTTTCCAAAAATAGGGGACCCTAATATAGTACCCTACATAATAGGATCCCTATTATGAGCACCCCAAAATAAGGTACCCCTAAGTTTCGGAAACTCCCATTTCTAGCCAACTGGGGGCTATTTAGAAAAAACCTAAACCCTAAACCCTAAACCCTAAACCCTACTGTTAGGAGAAGGTCGACAAGAAGGAGAAGGCTCCATATTCTCCCCCCCACTTCGACACATCTGGCCCTTTCACTCTGGCGCCAGGCGGCTCGCGAGAGAGATGACTCGAGCGATGCCTCAAGTGAGGAGGACTGAGCCTAAAGCCTAAACCCTAAACCCTAAACCCTAAACCCTAAATCGGATGTTGCAGGCAGAAGGTTCCTGTCCTTCTTCACGGACCTGCTGGTCTCCCATTGTACATAAAGGTTCCACGAAGTTTGCAGGCAAGAGACCCCTTGTGAGGGGCACGGTAGAAGATTAGCGAAAAGCTTGGTCGGCAAAGTGTTCTGAAACAGCCATGCTCGTGACAAATGTTGAACTTCGGGAAACCGTGACTGCTAGGCTTTGAAACGTGAAGCCCGGCGTGCCAGTTGGCAGCAAACCGCTGCATATAGACGAATGTCCTCAGCCAATGTCCAGCAGAATGTTGTGGGACGGCGCGACGAAGGCATTAAACAAAACACTACAGGCTAAGGCGCAGTCTTTTCCTCTTGCGCCCGTAACTTTGCGGTGCCCCGTTCCGTGAATTAGGTGCTGGCAGTGACATCTTGCCTCAAGAGGCTCGGTGTTGCATCGGGGGTGTGCTGCCTGTTGCATTCGATCCGTGCCTTGTGGTGGAACCCAGAAGTGTGGATACAAGGCTGAAGTGAAGATGCTGCGAGTGCTCCTGGCTCGTTTCATCAATGCTCGATTCTGCTGTACTTGAGGCGAACAAGGCTCGATGGTTTGTGAACACAGCTATGCTTCCAAGCTCTTTGTCCTTTGGGCAGCTGGTCAATTCAAAGTCATTCTATGAACATCGTGGAAGATTGAGTCCTTTAGGGTCCTCTTTTTATAAGGGTGCCGTACTAAATTGGGGAGCTAAAAAGGGGCCCTAAACCCTAAACCCTAAACCCTAAACCCTAAACCCTCACCCTAAACCCTAAATGCCCAAGTAGCCTCTGCCAGGCAGAAGAGGAAAACCTCCAGCAGCAACTGCAGAGCCTCCTCCAGGAGAGCCATTCGGTTTAGGGTTTAGGGTTTAGGGTTTCTGGCATGTACTTGGAGGATTATAGGACTTAGTAAGTATGGTTATAAGTACCTTAATTGGGGTTATAAGTAGTTATAAGTATAGTTATCCTAACAATAACCCTTGTTACTATGTCCCATGATCCTTTAGGTAGGAGGTTCAGAACATAAGGAACCCCCATAAAGGGAACCCTATTGTAGAACCCTATAGAGCCCTCAAGGGATCCCATGCGCAGATCTTTCACAAAAGGATCCCCATTAGAAGGACCCCCCTTTGAAAAGTGATCCCTAGGTTAAACCTCTGCCTGTTTGCTGGACATTGTATCGATGTCTGGAAGGGCCCGGGGGGTTTCGACTGTGGGTTTGTGGCTTAAGAGCTTTAGTTTAGGGTTTAGGGTTTAGGGAGTTCCTGGGCCTTCGGGTTTAGCTGGGTTGTCTTTTGGGATCTTTTTTAATTTCCCTTATTACTTTGTAGAGAACCATAATAGCAAATAATTTTCCAAGGGCTTAAAGGACAACTTAGTTAGTCTGCAGGAGCTTCAAGCTGTCCAGGAGGCGAGGAGCTCAGTGGTATCATGCAGGTCCAGATATGTCTCGAGACATTCCGACATGCTCCGGACACAAGTACACTCATTATTGGGAACGATTTTTGTTGTATTTGCTGGGGATTTTGGTGGAAAATAGAGAGATTGTGGTTAGATCGATAGAGTGTTGGGACTCAGGCCATGCCCAAAGAGGAGCCGTCGCAGGACGACATGTACAAACATCTGCAGCACCCGATCAGACCCACTGCTGAAGTTGCCTTGGGTCTCGGTTGTTGCAGTATGAAGCAGAGGCTGGTCCAAAAGGATGTCTATGAGTCTTTGGCATTGTTTGGCAACTAGATCCTTCCGACTCGGAAAGTGGGCGTGTTACTGTTGATGGACAAAATCCTGCATGGCCTTATATACCTAAACCATGGGATTTATGGTACTATACGACATTTGGGTCATGCAGAATTTTGTCCATCAACCGTAGGAAATGAGTTGGTCTATGCCCATCAGTGACGCAGGATGTTTCCGCCGAGATTGCTCTCCTGGGGTGTTTCCAGGCAGCTCGGCTGCATGGGGCACACCGTTTCAAGAGGCATGCTAAGGGGCGGTTTATGGTTTAGGGTTTAGGGTTTAGGGTTTTACTGTGAGGCATCCCCGAAACCGGCCATGCGTGCGAGAGATCTAAGGAAGTGGCAGTGAAGCACAGGGCCTTGTTCTTTCCAGAGGGTCAAGAGCCCTTGTCCCGCGACCACGAGGCAACCCGCATCTTCTCAAGCCGCGGCAACCACGTTTGTCAAGAGATTTAGAGTGTTGCATGCAGTATCTACAGGGCGATCAAGTCCGTGCTCGCAGGTAGTGGCGTCCTACATTGCAGAAAACCTTCAAGCAAGTGGCTGAGGCAGGCCGAACGAGAGAAGGAGATCCAAATACGTCATGCACACCTCTTGATGGCAAACATCTAGTTTATTATTATTATTATTATTCTTATTATTATTACTATTATTATTATTACTATTATTATTATGATTACTATTATTACTATTATTATTACTATTATTTTTATTACTATTATTACTACTATTATTTTTATTACTATTATTATTATTACTATTATTATCATTACCATTATTATTATTACTATTATTATTATTGTTATTATTATTATTATTATTATTATTTTTACGATTATTATTACTATTATTATTATTACCATTATTATTATTATTACCATTATTATTATTATTATTACAATTATTATTATTGTTATTGTTATTATTATTGTTATTGTTATTATTATTACTACTATGAACAGCTCGTTAGCAGGGGGTCTTTCTTACCAGCTTAAAGCCTGCAGGCGAACAAGAGCTGTGCTGCTGCTCTTGAGAGCATCCGTCGCTCGCGGAATGCAAAAGCCAAAAAATCGCTGGAGATTCGTGAGCCCCTGCGACTCTTGATTTAGGGTTTAGGGTTTAGGGTTTAGGGTTTAGGGTTTAGGGTTTAGGGTTGGATCCTTGCCAATTAGTGGAGCCGCAGCTTATCTTACTGGTTTCTCGCCCGCGGCGGATTCATGAACGAAAAATACATGCGAGAGGCACAAATGTCTGCCTCACAGATACTTGTGATAACGGCTTTGCGGTTGCGTCGAAAGTTTGACATGCAAGCAAAAAGGCAAAACCGAACACATTGGCAGGACTGTTGACGGTCTGACTCCCTCTATACATGTGTCCGAGCACTGGGCGGCAAATCGTCATGATGGAATGCTGGCCACCCTCCCGAGAGCGCGGTGGCGAAGGTTTCAGCCCTTCCTACGAAGACTCGTGGTCTCGGAGACTCCAGTGCCACAGCTTGGCAAGGAGGAGCTGCGATGCTGACATGCTTGGAAACAGCAAACCTCTGTTGAAGCTTGCTACTTCGTGAAGCGGTGCTCGTTGCAGAGACTTTGACATCTTGCCAGGGTGTTCCTTCTTGACAAGCTCTCCACTTCCGGCGAGAAGGGCAGCGGAGCTTGGAGGGTGGCGGGCCCAATACCTGTCCCAAGACTGATATGGTAGCTGTAGTTGGGGCCGCATGTAACACGAAGTGCAGCTCAGTTTGTGCGGATCGGCATCGTCAGATCTTAAGAAATTCTACAAGCAAGTCGTGTGAAACGATTGCTTCAGGCTTTCATAGGCACCGAGACGGCCGCATCTGAGCCAACTCTCGAACATGGAGAATTAAGCTTGGGAGAGCTGCTTTCTGCAAGGTCTATGCAGCGAAAGTGCAGCAGGATGTCAACAACTATGACGTCCAGGATTCAAGCCTTCGAATCAAGATTATGTCTGCGAGAGGCACATGCAGGAAGCCCGTGCAATGGCCGGCAGCGCCTAGACTTAGACACAATGACCCCCTCCTGCATCGGCGCATGCGCATTTAGCAATTCAAGCCATCCTTGAAAGTTGCTGCTCCTTGCCCTAAACCCTAAACCCTAAACCCTAAACCAGTGGAAAGCCCGTCAGGATCTCTGTCGCATCGTACGGGCAGCGTGCCGGGTCGACTTCCGAAAGAGGCGGCCGCCATGCTCGGGGTTCTCGCAGCCGACGAGAGCCTCCCCAAACCCCAACCTAAACCCCTAAACCTTAAAACCTTAAAACCCTAAAACCCTAAAGCCCTAAAACCCTAAAGCCCTAAACCCCTAAAGCCCTAAAACCCTAAAACTTTAAAGCCCTAAAACCCTAAACCCCTAAACCCTAAAACCTAAACCCTTGCAGGTCGTTGCTCAACGCGGTCTGCCGCCGGTTTTGCTCCGACCTCGGAGGGCCTCTGCAGTCGTTGAGATGCGGTGAGACCTGGCAGCCGCAATCATACTGAAATATACGATATACTGTTATACCGTGCTATGTCATGCCGTGCTGTGCTATAGTTTGCAAGACTATGCTATGCTATACTAGACTAGACTATACTTTACTCCTTACTTTCCTACAAAACCCTAAACCCTAAACCCTAAACCCTAAACCCTAACTGTTTTTGGTCTTCTTGGGCTCCTGTTTCTGCAGGCTCAGAAGAGCTCGCTGAGTTGCCCCCGCGATTTCTGGCCCAACTCTTGAGCTGCTGGCACCGTTTATTGGGGAGTCTTTTGTGAGGCGTACCTTAACCTACCATAAACCACTTTTGTGTAGGTTCTTATTATAAACCCTGATATGGGATTTATAGGGGCCCTACAAAAAAGTAGGTTCTGGTAGGCTAAGGTAGGTGTGCAAAGTCGTGGGGCTTTGTGCATTTTTTGGGTTTAGGGCTCAAGATCCGGGGGTTTTGGGGGTTTGGGATGCTCCGGCTGAGCTTTGTTTGACTTGGGTTGATCGCTGGCGCTTTGAATTCGGAGACAGGAGTGACCTTCGCAAGCTGCGACATTTCGATGCACCGTCCTGGGCTGAGCTCATTGGGTCTGGCCTTGAGCACTGCTCGAAATAATATGAGTTTGGGAACAGCACACCAGGTTGCTCGAGAGGCTTCTGAAGTTCTGGCAGTTCGACACCAAAATCGAAGAGGCCCTCTGCAACTCTCCTGACAGCTCCGTTCAGTCTCACCTCGGGAACTGGAACAGTTCAACAACTTTGACCTATCGTTGCTGCTGATCGCCTTTGCCCGCTCCGCGTTGCGCGATGAGGACAGTTCTAGTTGACACGCGTCGAAGTGCAGAAGTGCCGTATGCCGATGATTTTTCACGATGGGCTCCAGGAGCGACTCTCGACCATCGGTGGGGCTTTGAGGTTTGGATGAGCAGCTCAGACTACTTCTGGACAGTCTGGCATCTGTCTCGGTGAGGCAGCAGCTCACCAGCATGGGGTCATCCACCGCCAGAGCCTTTGCCAGCTACACGCCGTCGTGATTCGGGTGCGAAGTTGAGGAGGCGTCTTCCATGAAGGTCCCCTGTTACACCAGTGTTATGTGTCGTTGTCTGAATGTTTTGCTGACATCAGCTGCAGCTGTAAAATAGGAGACCAAAATATATTGTACCCTAAATGGTAGGATCCTTATTATAAAGACCCCCGCAAAATAGGCTACCCCTTAGCATCATGGCTGAGGCTGCCGGATCTCTGTATGCCCTGGCCTTGCTGGACTTCGGATCTGACGGAACAGGTGCCGGGGCCTGGAGGGGGCCTGGAGGGGGCCGGAGGGCCATGCGTTGCTGCACTTGTTTTAGCTTGCTGTTCTTTGCAGCGATCATGCCAGTTTCGTCCACCCCTTTAAAGGAGTTGGGCAGAATGGATCTTGGGCCTTCGCCCGTGTTTCTCTTGTACCTCAATAGTATACTATACTTGTAATATACTGGAATATACGATAACTGTCTATACTAGACTATAGCAGACTATAATCTGCCATGTCGCAGGTGCGGCTTTGTCTTCCACAGTGCTGCCCCGCTTGCTCGGCGAGGCCTCGCAGCAGGTGCGTCGATAGGAATTTGTTAGAGCAGCTTTTGTTTTGGGCACGCTGGCTGCTCGTATTTCAAACGACTTAGGGCACCGCCCGTAGCCAGAAGACCGGCCCGTCAATCATGCCAACCAAGTGGATTGTCGCTCGGCATTTTGCAAGCAAGGAACTGGTGAACATTGCCTTTGCCCTTGTGGTCGGCGCCCTCAGTGGTTGTCATGTCGAATGCATCTGTCTTTCTCACGCAACAGGGCCATGCGATCCTGGAATTGCAGACTCCAGCAATCTACAGCAAGACATTTTGTTGTGCTCTGTACAAACTGAAGCAGAGGCGCTGGACCTGCCCGAGGGCGAACTGCTGTCATTTGCACTGCAGCGCCTTGTGAAGCAGGCCTGCGCCAGCAATCTCCGGTGCTCTCTGTTGACAGCTTCCTGAAAGCGCATGAAAGGTGCGCGGCTTGGAGCCCATCAGCATACACGCCTTGCGCATCATCGCGCACTGTGTGGGAATCCCAGGTCCTAAACGTGTTTAGACTGCGACCCCCGAATCTTCATTGGCCAAGGGCAACGCAACCGTAGTTTTACCACATCATGACGCTTGTCGCATTTGATCCAAATCTCCGCACAACAGGAGGTTACTCTTATTCTGGCCCCCGGAGTGGCAGTGCATCGTTACCATTCTCGCTGCATGTTTCCTTTTGCTCTTGGACGTTCTGTGGACTCGTTGAATTTGTACAAAGGTGCAGCTTCCACAGGCGCTGCGTCCGAAAATGCGTGCTTCTATGGAGGAGCTTTCGCACTGTTAGCCTGCGGATGGGTGCGGCATGCAGGCATGTGTGTCCGTGGTGTGTCCGTGGTGTGTATTTGTGTGGGGTTGTTGTCTTGCAACTTGGTGGCCAGGACGACCAAGTCCGACGCCGTTGCGTCGGAGCACTGCGAGAGGCTCGCGGTCTTCGTCGGATTCGTCGCATGCCATGACCAGTTCTGAAGTGTGACGGTGAGGCAGTTCAAGTGACTTTCATGGTGGCAGTATGTCAGGTTCTCACTGCCACCAAAGATGTGGTTATTGGGCCCAGCGCCGAGAATCCTTGTCACATCCCAGATGGTGCAAGATGGAGCGCTCAGGTCTCCGCCCATGAGCTCTCGCCTCCAAGCCGCTCTGGAACGCTACTTCGAAGAATTGCAGGTGCCGCATCTTCCAGAGCAGGCGCGATGAAGTGCATGTGCGAAGTTTCACGTGAATTTCACGGTCTTCTTGAAACAAGGACTAACGGAAGAACCACAAACCATACGTAACTTCGCTAAGTATGCCGGGGAGGGGTGCAGAACACTGCAATCTCCGACGTGATTCAAGACTGGTCGGAGCGATCATGCCACAGCCAGCGACTTCGCATCGCTGAACGTCACGAGTTGGAATTGTCGCCACGAGAGCCCGATGCCGGTTTCAAAACTAGTCTAGATCCACTTCTTGTGCCGAGCAGACTCGAGACTGGCTCCCTATGACGATCTCTTGCCACCTCTGTATGTATGTATGTATGTATGTATGTATGTATGTATGTATGTATGTATGCACGGATGTATGTATGTATGTATGTAGGTAGGTAGGTAGGTAGTTAGGTAGGTAGGTAGGCAGGTAGGTAGGTATGTATGGCTGCACGGAGTCCTTCTGGGATGGTTCAGAGCTATGACCGCAAGGCTGTCGGGCCCTACGTGCCCGACTTTGTCCTGCCGATGAAGGTTGGGCATTTGATCTGCCAGCTCAATATACGATATATACTTTGCTGTGATGTAAGACAGTATGATATGCTATAGTCGAATATACTGCAGTTTAATCTACTACAGTATAATATGATATACTACAGTACAAATACTATGGTTATAGTATGAAATAATGTAGCAGAATGTGCTGCGCTGTCTTTGAGCAAGACATGTTTCCCAGAAGCTTCAGCTTCAGTATCACGGCAGGTTGTCGTGGAAGTGGATGGCTACACTCACTTCTACGCTTTTTCTCAGCGCATGACAGCCAGGCTCCCAGGACGATCACGTCGGGGATGAGGGTTTGGCGCAGTAGTTTGCATGGTCAGGCGAAGTCGAAGCTGAAGCGGCGTGTGCTGGAAGCTTTGGGCTGGGGTGGCTGCCTCAGTTTCGTCCCCTGAAAGCACCTCTGCTGTCTATCAGAAACGGTCTCCGCTTTCGAAGCAGCATCTGTGACGAGGCGTGGTCAGCTTGCCGCACTTCCAGTGGCTTCCCATGAACCACCAGGATCGCATTAAGGATGAGAAGCTGCCAGGCACTAGTACTTCCCTTTGTTCGAGGGGGTCTGGCTCTGGCTTGAAACCCCTACGTAAAGTTCTTCAGGAGCGCCTGGTCTTCCTGTCCAACAAGATCTCTGTGGCGGCAGGGCAGCCCTTCTCTGCCGGGCGCCCAGGCAAAGAGTTGAATTCCTAAAGGCAGCCATGTTTCGCATGGGGGGCGATATGGTCCGGATGGCTGGATCGTTGGAAGTGCGAAAAGCATCTCATGACCCTGCTGCTGAACATAAGCTGCAGCAGCACGTGCGAAGGATGCGGAAGGAGGAGGAATGGACTAGCAGGATGCCAAGAAACACTCCGCTCCCGAGAACGAAGGACTTTGACACCGGCCTTCACGCCTCCACCAACAGAGGGTTCGCAGTGCAGGGCATGCCTCTAAGCGGACTGAAGATGCAGTCGATAACTTGACATATCTTTTTCCCGTGTGCTCCTGCCCTCATCAGTTATCATGCTGCCCCCCACTTCCTTTTCCTTTTGTTGGCCTGTATCGCCTGAGGCTGTGCGAAAGGCTTCGCTAGAAGGCAGGCTTCGCATCTGTCAGTGGCTGACGATTGAACTGAAACATCATGCTGCACAAGATTTCGTCAGACTGTTTCACCAAGGCTCCAGAACTATGCTTATAGCCTGAGTTTAAACATAAATGCCGCCGTGAGACGATGAACACGACTTGATACGGAATTTGTTGTTCTACTTGCTTGCAGTGGCCTTGAGACAGGCTTCCGAGCTCGGAAACACCGACCGTGCTCCTGGCAAGTCGGGCTGATTTCTGCCTGCGAGGTTGCAAGTTTGCCTACAGAGTGATGCATGCTCGATGTCTAGGACGTCCCTCGCAGCATGACGAGAGTCATGGGGCGCTCGCTTCCATGTAAGCACAGCGCCAGGCAGCAGCGCTTTGCCCAGGATGCCGCCGCCCAAGCACAAGTTCGGAATGTGGAATACTCCACGGAGATGTGGGAGTTTCCGAAAATTGGGGGTACCTTATTTTGGGGTCCTTATAATAAGGATCCTATTAGTTGGGGTACTATATTAGGGTCCCCTATTTTTGGAAACCCCCATGTCTTTGCCCCTAAGCCCTAAACCCTAAACCCTAAACCCTAAACCCTAAACCCTATTTTGCACTTAGGACAGGCCTCCAGCTCGGGGCCAGCTTCCAACTACTTCGAGACGTTGACGTGTCGACACGCCGTGTGCTCGCAAAAGCGGTATAGGGTTTAGGGTTTAGGGTTTAGGTTTAGGGTTTTAGGGTTTAGGGTTTAGGGTTTAGGGTTTAGGGTTTAGGGTGGCCGGCAAAGCACCCTAAGGGTCCATGGGCCTTAAAGTACCTATATAGGGAAGGCCAATGTATATACTATATGAGTACATGGACCCTTAGGGGGGCAGTGTGCAATGCATTGTAGCAGGGCTTGTCTGTATGTGATTGCCTCTCCCAACGCAGGACAATAACAAAGCACGGATTTTCATCATGGCCTGCAGCCTGGCGTTTTGCTCCATAGCTAGGCTTCGGCAAAGTTGCGCATGAGCTGTTGAGGCCAAAGGTGCCGTGGTGGACGGCGAGGTGCCAGCTGGCCTTCGTCTGCAAAGCATTGCCTGCTTGGCCCTATGCCTGCAGGATCCAGACCTTGACCAAGTTAAGGAGGGATCGCTCGCCGCCGCCCTGGATCCCGCTTCGTAAAAGCATGGGTGTTGGCATGTTTTTAGAGTCCGGTTCTTTCAGAGGTGCGAGTGGACAAAGTGCTGGAGGTGGCGCCAAACCAGATCAATGCCCTGCTTGGTAACCAACAGGCAGATGCTCCGGGCTTCGGGTGAAGGCCACTTTGTACTTGGAGGATCATGGGACTTAGTAAGTATGGTTAAAAGTGCCTTAGTTGGGGTTATAAGTAGTTAGAAGTATAGTTATCCTAACAATAACCTCAGTTACTAAGTCCCATGATCCTTTCAGTAGGAATGCAGAGCAGGTGTCGCTCTTCCTGGCGTCGCCTTCAGCCTCTCGCTTCGAGGAAGGGGATGAGGCCGGGGACTTCCCAACTCCCCGACTCTGTGGGTCCCTGGGTTTAGGGTTTAGGGTTTAGGGTTTAGGGTTTAGGGTTTATGAGATTTTGTAGCAGAGAAAGTTGGGACACGGCTTTGCTTGTGGAGCTTTAGGGAAGGTCTGATCACTGGCATCCAGCCAGCAGGGATGGATCCTGCCCTTCGTCGCTGTGCTAGGAGGAAGATGATGCTCTTTCGCCCGGAGCACCTCCTTTGTTGGAGGATTTGGAGCCTGGTTCGGAGGCAAGGCGGTGAAAGAGCAGCAATTTTCCTAGCCAGCCCCAAGCTTAAAAAATTAGAGACCCGAGCCCTAGACCCAATAAGCCCCAGACCCAAGAAACCCCAAAACGGCCTCACCTGCGACGCCGGCGCGTTCATGGGCCGAGGCGGTTCCCGAGCCAGGGGAGAATGACTCGCCAGAGCTGCCAGAGGCCGGCCTTCCCTAAAAGTTGGGTTCAGGGTTAAGGTTTAAGTTTAGGGGTTTAGGGTTTAGGTGTTTAGGTGTTTAGGGGTTTGGGGTTCAGGGTTTCGGGGTCAGGGTTTAGGGTTTAGGGTTGGGCTTTGAAGTAATGCAAGAGTGTAGTACGTATAGATTTCCTAGGTTTCTTGGTGGATTTTATAGGCAACTCAGAGGATTTTGCAGGGTTTCCGAGTGAACGTGGCGTTTACATAGGGTTTTGCAGGCTGAGACCTTTTGGTACGCTGCTCCATTCACAGGTCCTGGCTGCTGAAGACAAAGAGGAGACGGACCCTTTGAAGGACGTCTCAGACTTCCGTCTTGGCTGGGCCATCTTCTCTCCAGCCCTAGACCACGCTCGTGGAATTTACGGGATAGGGTTCGGTTGACTAGGTTTTGGGTTTAGGGTTTAAGGTTTAGGGTTTAGGGTTTAAGGCTCAGGGTTTAGGGTTTCAGGGCTTAGGGTTTAGGGTTTCAGGTTTAAAGGTTTAGAGCTTAAGCTTTAGCTTCCGCGGGTTGTTGCGGGGATGCCGATTGACCGCCTGGAGGAGGCTGTCGTGTTGCCGCTGCCCACGATTGAAATCCAGCCTGAGCCCGTCTCCCCGACGAGCGAAGCGCCCGCGCCTAGCGAAGCTGCAACATCAGAGGCCAGGAAATACTAGAGTCTAGCATAACCTGTGCGAAATATTGCAGAGGCCAGGAAATGCTAATCTGCCAGGACATACTGTAGTATACTCTAACATATTGAATTATACTACAATACACTATCCTATACTTCAGTCTACTATATTGTGCTGAAGTTAATGTTTGGCATTCTCTCTCCTGGGCGGTGGTCACTTCCAATTTCTTTGTTTGGATTATGTCTTGGGACTTGGAAGTCACAGGTGCCAGACTGAATCGCCAGATGCTCGACGCGACCCGAAGACGCAAACGGCCAGAATCACACAAGCAACGGCAGTGCGCAGTCAAGCCAAGCAGCACCAGTCTCTTACTGTGTGATGCGTTTTGCACCGTACCGAGCACACATTTCAATGCGTGCATCCCCATGCGATAGAACGGAAGGTGTCGTGCGTACTGACACACTCAGCGCCCAAGCACAGCAAACAAGCTACTTGTGGCAGCATTGTCTTCGGAACTCCAAGCGGCATGAACCGATTTTAGGATGCTATGTGCCGCAAAGACTAGTATGGATTCTGTTTTGGCTGCTTTCGACCCAGACTTCGTCACCCACATGTGTTTGCAAGCCATCTGCGGGGTTGAGGTTTTCATGCCTCATCTAGAGGTGTGTCACTTTGAAGACCTGTTTCAACATGCTGGCCTGCAGGCAAAACCGAAAAAGGAGAAGCCCTCTGAATACTACGCCGGCATCGTAACGCCCAGCAGCCGCAGCCGCTCTGAGGCCAGGTGCGATCCTCTCGCTTGCATAGACGTAGTTTCCGAGCCCATAGGCTAAAGAAGGCCCAACACGTCTTGCGCAACCGGATCTTCTTGTTGGCTGCCAGGCTGAAATGACGCCTGTAAAGAGAATGAAGCCCAAATCTCAGGCAGGGCAAGAGATTTCTGCAGAGCTTTATCCATCTATCAAAGCTATCTTCTTCATCCTGCTCTGCTCTGGGTCGCTTCTGGCTTTTGAGGTTTAGCGTTTAGGGTTTAAGCGGTGTGGGTTCTGGCATCCTTCCTTGACCGTCGCTTTTGGCCAGCACATATTGACACGCAACGGGTCCTTAGATTTGTGAAGACCCGTGCCAACCACACGATTGAGATATGCTTGTCACACAGGTGCAGTACCATCCGCTTCGGCATGATGGAACAGATGGACCACGTGAAGTGTTCCAACCCCTCGTTCAGACCGTGCAGGAGAGGTGCATTCCATTGCATCTTTACAAACCTATAGATGGGGCACTGGTTGTCGTGCATGAGGCCACGTCACTTTGCAACCTTGAATGTTTGCGCCATCCTGCCACGGAACAGGCTAGTTCAACATCGGATACAGTGTTATATATATATATATATGTATAAAATATTTTTGGTAATCATCTATATAATTACAGAGTGTGTGTGTAGTCGAACATCTGATGCTTGCATCGCAGGACGTGGCCAGTCTCTTGTCTGCAGCCCGTGAGTTCGTCGCAGAGCAGAGCAGATGACTGAAACAGCGACTACTGCAGCGGGTCAGCTTGTGCCTATTTACACTCCTGCTTGTGATTATTCTTAGCCAGAAGCTGTGACACACATCATGAACGGAGAGATTCGAGTCCTTAGTTCTTGTCGGTTCCATTCAATCAGTTGGAAAGATTTTTCGATTTCTACGGAAGATGGCTTTGCAGTGGTGTCGCTCGCTAAATTCACATGCGTGGGCTGCGTATGTCATATTGGCAGAGAGTGGCCCACTGCTTTTCTGCTCGGGTGTCGCAATCGGAATGTACCCACAACTTGACACATTGGAGTAAAGAGATGTGGAAGAACAGGGTCTCCAGCCAGGAATCAAGCGTACTGGGCAAGTCAGCACGTCGTTCCCTGACTTTCTCTGTTTGCCTCTGCTGTCTCAGCTCGCCACGTCTGTGCAGACACCGTTCAGATCTGGTTGTTTGAACCGCACTTGTCAAGATCTTCGTCAACTTCACTGTTTGTCGTCGCGTTTGAATGTGTGGGAAAAGGTGACGAAGATCGGCACGACACGGGTGACCCGCCCGAGCAGCTCGGATCATCTTAAGAACTGGAGGAGTCACTGCCCCTTGTGTTCCTGTCGAGCCACATTGAACTGTTTCAGGTCCGGCATGCCGGAGGAGGCCGCTGAAGCTGTTGCAGAAGGGCGCCCCTCAGAGACGATGCGACAGGCAGAGACCCCAATGGAGGATGCGGCGCATGCAGCGCTCCCGCTGCAGCCTCGGAGCTCTTCCAGGTTTCCGACCTTTGACACCCATTAAATGCAGGCGGGGACGCACTATACTGCCGATCGAGGCCAGAAGTGGCGGAGGGTGAGCCCGACGCGGACCGAGGCAAAACGCAAATGCCCTTGTGCACATGACAGTCTTGCAAGAAACTTACAGACACCTGGCATTCTGGAGGAGCTTTTGCGGAGTATCTGTCCCTCTCTCTGGCTTTGTTAGTTCTCCTTCTGCCTCTCTCTCTTTCTCTCTCTCTCTCTCTCCCTCTCTCTCCCTCTCTCTCTCTCTCTGTATATATATAATATATACATGTGCACGGAGTCTCTCTCTCCCTCTCTCCTCTCTCTCTCTCTGTCAATTGCACTGTTTTTTTCTGTGGTCAAGTGTGGGCTGCATGCATGAGAAAGACCGGCAGCACTCATAGAGCCGCCGCCCGGTCTGCGCTTTTGAAACAGGCGAAGAAGATGCCGATGCCAAGCCGCAGTCTTGGGGAGAGATCTCGTCGGAGAGGGTGATCACTCTGTCGCATGAACTGTGTTGGTTTGGGCATAGTACATATAATTTACATATATATATATATGTATATATAGTATGATATATATCAAATCAAATCATATCATATCATACCAGGTCATATCATATCACACATATTGGCTGATTGTATGTACTTAACATATATGCTTAAGCTGAGCTCTGCTCGTATATGGTATGTCTGGCTATGTCTGACTGATGTTTGTGCTCAAACCGGCTCTGCCAAGGTCAATCGCGAGTGCTTCTTTCGACCTGGGCATCGTCTATGTTCTTCGCCTTCCTGCCTTCGTGGCCCCCAGCGCTGACGTCTTCGAGCCTGATGATGATGAGCTGATTGCAGAGCTCGAGGAGGGCGAGGTGCCCTGACCAGTCAATCATGCTAGCATAGATTTGCGCACCACGACGATCAACACCACGTCGACCAAGACGACCGCTTGGACCAGGACAGACGACCAAGACGATCAAGACGAAGCGACCACCAGAGTAGGAGACTCCCCCCGAGACCATCAGGAGACCACCAGGAGACCAGGGGACCACCAGGAGACCACAAGCACATGATGGCTTGACAAGAAGGCTTCTCGCGATGCAACTTCCCAACAACTACTCATTGTCTCATTAAGAAATGCCCACCATGCTTCTCGCGGTAGACTGGCGGGATTCAGGCCGTCTGCGCTGATGCTTAGCCCCCCCCCACTTCCTGGCCGGGATTCAAGAGGACGCCCAGACGGCCAAAAAGGTGGCCAATGTATTGGATTCTACAGCGGATCTAGCTTTCCGGGGGGACCCATCGCACGGTCTAAATATTAGAGCGTGGGTGCAAGCTATGCGCGGTGCCAGAGTGGGAGCCCCGTCGGGGGTGCGGCTACAGCTAATCTACCAGGCTTCTGTATCCTTCACTTTTGAACGGCATAGTGTGTACCACACTGTTTGGGGAATGATGCGTGATCAGAGGGGCAAGCTGGCAAGCGCACTCGCAATCTGCAGCATGCATATCGGAGGAGATCGAGCTGGTGGAGATCCTTGCCTTTCCCGAAGAGGGACGGGTGTGGCTTGCTCAGCCATGGGATGTTGCCCACCTGAGTGGTTGTCAAAATTAGGGTCCCTTGTTGGGGTACCCTAAATATTAGGTGCCGTATTATAATAAGGACCCAAAAAGGGATCATAATTTTGACAACCACCCACCTGAGTGTTCGATCTTTGCTTCATGGGCCAGCAAGTGAGGCGTGGGAAGTTGAAGTCTCCGGAAGGTTGGATCACCTTGCGGATGCCTGGCATCCTTAGCCTCTACCTACCAGCTATAACATCGTGATGGGCTTTGCTTGCTGTACATGGTATTGATCTGAGGAACTCGGCCACGGGCACAAACTGGGTCGCCGGCTATTCTGAAGCTCAGCTCAGAAAGTGTTGTGTTCCCTCAGCTTGTCTAGAATCAATGCTGCAAGAGCCATGGTTGAGTTACTCTCGGCGTATGCAAAGCTCACGATGCCACAACCTGCATTTTTTCAGGACAGGGGCGCAAGCTTCTCGGCTGAACTTAGATTGATGTCTTGCTTGATGATGCTCGTGGCCTACCGCCAGAGAAGCATTGACGCAGCCCTCCTGCCAAGGTGACCAGGTGTCCCAGGAGAGCAGGCAGGTGTCAGAGGAGGGTAAGTCGGAGGCATCAGTCTCAGAGCAGGAGCCACGAGACGAGCGGTTGGTGCTTTAGGGCATGAGGTGCATCAGCCGGAAGATGCGAAACTGGCAGGATCCCACAGCGCCCTACAAAAAGGGCGTCTACATTCTTGTGCGTGCTGCGTATGTCGCACACGATGCCGACAACTTCGCGCCCGATGACGACGAGCTGGTTGCAAGGGTGGAGGAGGGTGAAGACTCTTTGCACATTTATTAACAAGTTGATGGACCAACAAGACTCACATGCCTTTCAGGGGTGAGTGATACATACATATATATATATATATCTATACATATGCATATATATATACACATGTATACACACATGTATATATATCTACATATATATATATATACACATGTGTATATATATATATATCTCTATATATATATATATATAGCATTCTATCTTTTACATCAAGAGCCAAGGAAGTAGAAGTCGTAGAGGTGGTCGACTTTGTGGAGGAGGACAGAGTGCATTGAGCTCAGACATGCAAGCCCGGCGGAGCGGTATCCTGTTACCTAAATCCCTAAACCCCTAAACCCTAACCCCTAAACTCCTAAACCCTAAACCCTAAACCCCCCCTAAACCCTAAACCCTAAACCCCTAAACCCTAAACCCTCAGAAGAGAAATATCTGCTGATGCTTCATCGGATGCTGTCAAGCGACCCAAGAACGAAGCACCATCATCGGCAAAGTTCCATCCCCCCATGGCTGCTCGAGCTCCTGAATTCCGCCATCAGAGTGTCCCCTAGAGCCCTACAGCATCACTGCAAGCTCGCAGCCACCGCTCACCCCAGATCTGAAATCCGGTTCTCCGGATTTCCTTGTTTTGTTTTCTGCTGCCATCCGAAATTCACGTGAAACTTGCAAGAAGAAGGGCAATTTCTCGACCCAGGCGTGGCAGGATCCTCGAGCCAAGTGGTTGGATTACCCTCCTGAGACTTGAACGAGACTGGCAGACTTGGTCGTGCCACGAAAAGCAACCTCAGTGACCTAACGTCCCTTTCCAACCGAGGAACAGGATCACTGGCACGGAATGGATTACGCCGAAGGCTGGTGGGCACTGGGAAACAGATTTGTACCCTCAGCTTGGGTAGTCAAAGCCCACAGCGGTATGGCGCATTCTTTCGAGCGAGTTGACACTGAAAAGATGGCTGTGTGGGGAGACATTGCATACTTTCCCTGTGCTTGGCCGGAAGTAACTTAGCTCTTGACAGGATCCTGTTGACCATGGCCTTCGAGGTGCTGGGACAGTTTTGTGTGCAGCCTGGAAAACCGCTGGTTGCTGTGACTGACGTGAATTCTCTTTTTCCCTCAGTCCTGATTCCCTGCATCGTTTGCGCCTTGCCATTCCCTTTTGTTGCCTTCCCTGCAAGCTCCACCACAGCTTTTGATTCGTCAAACGCCAGCGTGGCAGGCATTCCAGTGTTCCTCTAAACCCTAAACCCTAAACCCGAAAGGGGGCCCAAGCCAGGCGACAGAGAAGAATCTTCCTCCGAAGGCGAGGAAGGCGATGGACCGTCGAGGCCACTGCCAGTAGCTGCTGATGAAGTATCAATAGACCATAGTACTACAATATATGAAAACACGCTAATATGCCATAGAGGACCATAACCTACTGTATAACAAATATACTAATATACTAAAACATGCTACAACATGCTATAGTGACCATAATCTACTGTATAATATATTATGTTATACTAGAATATAGTATGCCTCCATCAGCTACGAGGACGTGGAATCGTGCAGCAGTGCAATCAGGGTGCAATCAGGTCACTCTGTTTCGCAGCACGCGGCAAGCACATTCTGCAGGCACGAAGGGAAGGAAGAAGTGGACACGCCTCCTGACAAGAAGATGTTGACTCAAGCTGTTCTTTTGATGTGTGTACTTGGGGGGAATGCCGGGTGCTTGTGCCCACAATCTCTCTGCTCGGGCATGTGACCATGTGCCGGCCTGCCACATCGCACAAGCTCGAGCCGCTTTTGCTACTTGCAACTTTCATCTGAGGAACGCTGTTGACAGGATGAACTTGGAGGAGAGTCTTCTTCAATTCGAAAAGTTTCCCCACATGTCTACTGTTGCAATCTGCCAGGAGGAGGATGCGAGCCACCTGGCCGAAGTGAGTCCAGTTTGTGGCATTCATAGGTCAGCTTTGGTCTCTCTGTCAAGGTCGGCGGAAGGCATCCGAGTTGGAACAGGAGCTGGGCGTGCTGGAGTCCTTACGGGCCCTCATCGTCCCTAGGGCATTTCCGAAAAAATCATTTCGCGGTTCCCGGCTGCGTGAGACAACTGCCGGACCGGATTGGGTTTGTAAGTTGTCAGCCTTGCCTTGGCTGACAGGAGGAACCCTACGAAACGGGCATTTACCTCCTGGTGCGGTCTGCATTTGTGGCATACGATGCCGACAACTTTACCCCAGACGACGACGAGCTCGTCGCAGAGCTCGAGGAGGGTGAAGACGCTTTGTGCGGTGTTTAGAAGGTGTGGAACAGTTTATCAAAAGCACTTTGAACTGGAACTTGGAATGCCATTGACGTGACATCACGCCTCCAAGGAAGTCGAGGTTGTAGAGGTGATCGATTTTGTCGAGGACGACCGAGTGTTCCCAGCTTAGGATCCACGTGGTGCTTGCTGTCATGAGCAGTTTCCCTGCCATTCGGCAAAGCATTGTACATACACTGAGGCGCGGCAGGCTCCATGATCCAGATGGATGGATTACGCTCATGAGACTGAGCCGAACGAGCTTGACGGCTGTGCGGTATTCGCATGAGAACTTGTCACCGGACAAAACCCCCATGCCCAGGAACAGAGCGACCGGCGCCAAATGGGTCACTCCGAAGGCTGGTGTGCCACGACCCAAAATTTCTAGATTCTAGCCCGGTATGCCGGCCCAATGCACGACATCTGCTTCACCGGGAGCTCCGAACCATCGGATGTGATGCGTCGACAGCCTTTTATCCGCCATGCGAACATTGCGAGAGAAGTTTGATTTGTCCACGACCGACCAATCCGGTTGCCAAAACTCATGTTCATACCGTATTAGATACCACGCTTCGCGATTGGCAGGAGTCCGGCAACGACTTTCGAGGTGCGGATTTGTTTGCAGCAACGGCTATGATTATAGCGCATCCAGCTGTTTCAAGACACCAATCAGTGATACTAGCATGCTTCCTATATGCTTCCTTTTCTATCCGGATGCCACCAACCACAGAGAGTCGGGCAGATACTCTTTGTTGTGGACAGCCAGCTCTGAGGTGCCTCAAAGACCGCCGCCTCAGAGCCAGGTGAGCAAGAAGAAGGTTCCCACTCCGAAGACGAGGATGGCAACGAACCGTCCAGGCATCGACAGATCAACGGCTGGCCAGAGCTGATACCTCGATTACGTGAGTCGGGCAAAAGTTATTAGCAATCCCTTTCAGGCGCCAAAGAGTGGCCGACGAGGAAGACAAGCGTCTTGACCGAAACTGGCAGTTGCTTAGTCTCGTGGCTGAACGTTTCTGGGGCACACTTGCTGGCTCGTATACCTCTTGAACACCATCCGAGCGCTCCTAGACATGAGCTCCCTGTCTCTGTGCGCGCCACTGTAATCCACCAAATGGGAGTTTCCGAATGTAAGGGGTACCTTATTTTGGCGTCCTTATAGTAAGAATCCCACTATTTACGGTACTATGTTAGGGTCCCCTATTTTCGGAAACCCCCATATGTCCGTGAGGTGGGGCATGTGTTGGATGGCCTTGGCGGCGCGTTGTCACGGTGGTCATATCCCCGCGGTTCGAACTCAACTTCTTTCTGGTACTGCACTGTCACCGTGATGGCACAACCACGGCTGCGTGACATTCCCACGGTTCCCGATCAATTTTCTCTTTGTGTCAATGCATTCTCACGGCAGTTGTATCCCCCTCGGACGGTTCCCGGTCCAACTTCGTCGCACCGCGGCAGTCTCCACGCTTTGCAATCAACTTCTTCATCATGGCACTTTCTCACCGCGGTGGTGTCCCAGTGCATTTGCACTGCAGTGGTATCTTCACAGTTCGCTTCATGTCGGTGCTTTCTCGCGATGGTATCCCTGCACGGTCAACTTCGGCGTGGCCGCCTTTTCTCACTGTTGTGGCATCCCCACAGTCCGTAGGGCACCTTCGCGATCAACATCCTTATCTATGGCTGCACGAACTCACCGCGGTGGCTCTGCGGAAGCTTCTGTGGGTTTTTCATCTCGGTGGTATCCCCTCTGGTCAATATTCTACCCTGCCGGCAGAGTCTGACCGTTGCGCCGCAGCTCGCAGCCAACTTCCTCGCGGTGGCAGTCTGTCAACAGTGTGATTTTTTCCGTGTCGTCGTTCTTTATGAATCTCCGTTGGTCCTTGTTTCTCTCAGGCAGAGCTCCTGCCCGGGTCAATCCCTCACCCCGCCTCTCAGACCCAAGAAAGGGAGGGGGGGGGGGCTGCCCAAGACAAGTTTAGGGTTTAGGGTTTAGGGTTTAGGGTTAAGCTGAAGTCCTCCGGGTTGGGCGTGGGCTTCCGTGCCGGGCTCCTAGCCGAGGAGCCCTGCCATGAAGTGGACTTCTCCAGAGGACGGGGTTTAAGAGCAATCTGCTTCTTCGTTTTTGCGTGGGAGTCCTGGAAGTCATAGTCCAGTTCCGACTCTTTCGTGCTTTCAGGACGCCGCGAGTGTCGATGCAGAGGCAGAAGGCAGCCAAGAGAAATGTAGTCCAAAGTCCTGTGCCTGCAAGTGCTGTAAGCACGATCATGCAGGCTGACTCGTGCCTCATCTCCGATCTCTGGTTAAACCCTCCAGCGGCATGTCATGCTGTTCGAGTGCATCTGCCACAGGCGAGCGGAAGGCATCAGGCTCACAGGGGGCGGAGGAGGAGCTGCTGGCGCATCTTTAGATCCGTTAGATCCCATCGTAAGAAGCATTTCTCTGTCTTCGTTTTGGAACACTTGGCACGACCGGATTTCTGGCAGGATCCAGTGCCCTTCGAAACTGGATTCTACGTTCTTGTGCGAACTGCATTCGTGGCACTGGATGCCGACAACTTCTCGCCCGACGACGAGGAGCTTGTGGCAGAGCTTGGGGAGGGCGAAGACTCCCGGAGGAATCGTATGTGGAATACTTTCATATGCTGACACCACGCAATCTCACAAATCGCGCCTTGCAGCGTAAGTCTTGGCCAGAGCCAAGGAAGTAGAAGTTGTGGAAGTGGTGGACTTTGTCGAAGAAGAGAGAGTGTTCCCAGCTTGGAGATTGGAACTGGACCACTGATGGTGCATCTTCTCTGCTATTTCGCCGTACTTGCCGGCGTCCTGAACCCAGGCGGGGCAGGCTCCGCGACTTCGACGGATGGATTACCCTCCTGAGACTTGGTCAGTGTTTGGCGAGGTCTCAGCCTTGCGCTAAGCCCACCGTGGATGAACTTTCGATCAGCCGAGGAACAGAGCCACGGGCACTGAATGGGTCGCCCCGACAAGCCCGGCTCAGGTGCCTCGGAGCCAGCACGCATAGTCTGTTAAGGCGTTAAGGCGACAGTGATTGCTTGATGTTTGTGGTCGCACGCAGTGGCACCGTGCTCAGGGTTGAAAGCATACCAGTTGAACACATTCGTGATTGCAGGAATCGGTGGATGACAATGCCCAAGGCGCATGCTTTCAATCGTGGACCATGAGAGCATTCTAAGGGCAGCTTCTCCAGTCAGGTTTAGCGATTTACTAAGACATTCCAGCAGTGGCCATGTCGGCTGCAAGCCATCAGTTCAGCTTCAGCTGAAGTTTGCTGAATTTTCCAGCTGCAATCCGGGTGCAGGTCCTCAGACTCGTCCAGGTGATTCCCAGGAAGATGCTTCCTCTGACGTTGAAGCTACCAGTGAACATTCCAGGCACGGTCAAGTTGCGCTATGGCTTGGGACTCCCTGTCGCGCATCGTCGGAGCAACGGGCGGACGGCACACCCTGCTTGACCATGCAGGCCACCCACAGTCGTCGACGACGGTGTGGATGCGTTGCCAGGCGGCAATTAGCCGGGGCTTTGCCCGGGGTCAACCACACCGCAGCCCCACGTCATCGGGTCGCACATGCGCAGAAGGCTCTTGTTGAAGGGAGGGAGGGCGGGCGTTCTCACATGAATGCAAGAAAGCTTGAAGATTGCAATACCCAGCCCCAACAATTAGCACCACAAGCACAGCATGCCTTGAAGCTCCAGACCCGTCTAAAACCTACGCAAGTGGAATTCAGCCTTTTTACGAGATGTCCAAAAAGGATGTCCTGTTTGGTGTCGCCTTATGCACCCTACTGTGTCCAAACATGCGCGACTGGCCGAAATAGCTGCCAACAGCACCAGAGCAAAGTTGCAAGTGCAGCGCGAAGGTGCCGTTGAATATTTTGTTTCAGTGGCGATGATGTTGTATCATGCTATAAAATGTAGTAGCGTATTATACTGCACTGTGTTGTATCATTGTATAATATTATGCTGTATTATATTGTATTCATGTTTTCTACCATTTTATGTTTGATGGACTGTCTGTCAGCTTCGAGCTTAGGACCCCCGGCTCTGAAATGGAAGACTCCCGGCAGGACGGAGAACTTTCTGCTGCCGCTTCCTGATGCCCCCCCCCTGTGTTCCAAGTCACTGCAAGTTCTCGGTCTTGCTTTCAGGACGATGCAAGTGTCGATGCAGATGATGCAGGCAGCAGAGAGAAGCTCAGCCCACGTAAGCGCCATGTGTGTGAGCGTCAAAGCTTCCTCGTCTTTCCTGCAGCCCGTCCAGCGTCCGGTCATGCTGCAAAACTCTCTCAAACGCATCAGACACAGACACAGGCGACCGGGAGGCGTCACACTCTGCGGAGGAGGAGGAGGAGGAGCTGTTGGCATGCCTTCAGTTTTGAAATGTATTGAACGCGTGGCCTGGGATGGAAGCTGGCAGGATTCGTCAGTGCAGTTCAAAAAGGGGTCCTATGTTCTTCTGCGACCCGCTTTTGTGGCACTTCATGCCGACGACTTCTCTCCGGACGATGATGAGCTTGTTGCAGAGCTGGAGGAGGGTATGGCGCCTTGGCACCGTAAGTTATCAGCGAAGTTAGTTTCAATGGCAAGAGCTGAGGAAGTAGAAGTTGTGGAAGTGGTGGACTTTGTCGAAGAAGAGAGAGTGTTCCCAGCTTGGAGATTGGAACTGGACCACCGATGGTGCATCTTCTCTGCTATTTCGCCGTACTTGCCCGCTTCCTGAACCCAGGCGGGGCAGGCTCCGCGACTTCGACGGATGGATTACCCTCCTGAGACTTGGTCAGTGTTTGGCGAGGCCTCAGCCTTGCGCTAAGCCCACCGTGGAACTCTCGATCAGCCGAGGAACAGAGCCACGGGCACCGAGTGGGTCGCCCCGACAACCCAGGTGCCTCCGAGCAAGGACGGACAGATGTGACCTGCCATGGGTAGTCGGCTGAGTGCTGCTTACTTACATGTTTGCCTTGGCAGGATACCGTGGACGACGATGCCCCAGGTGTGGCCTGCGTTTCATGCAACAGTTGCCGGCGAGTTCATTGCCTTTATTTGCTCCGTTGGAATCTGAGCGTTCGGCGAAGCCTTCTAGCTGCGACGCTTTGTCGTCTTGCTGCGCATTGCGTCATGTAATGTTGCCGGTGACAGATTGGCCATGTGGCAACACTACCCACTTGTAGGAAGGAAGTATATGGTGCACCATGAAAGGTCGTTGACGAAACAAGTGCTAGGAGGAGTGTATCCGCTGAACCAAGATCATATTGCTGGGCGTTCGGCACCTAATATGCTGCGCGCCTGCATAGGTTAGGTCCTGTCACATCTTATTGCCTGTGCCTGGAGGGCTGCGAGTCCTGATCAGATCCTTGGTTGATCCTTACATCTATAGACATCAGCCCTCATCCCTTCAAGCCGAACCCAAACCCTAAACCCTAAACCCTCATTATACTATACTATACTATACTATACTATACTATACTATACTATACTATACTATACCATACCATACTATGCTATACCATACCATACTATACCATACCATACCATACCATACCATACCATACCATACCATACCATACCATACCATACCATACCATACCATACCATACCATACCATACCATACCATACCATACTTACTCTGCTGTGCTGTACATGATATACGAAACTGTACTATACCTCGAGTGGCAGGCCAGGAGTTGCACCCGGAGCTGGAAGAAGCAGAGATCGCCAGGGAGTCCTCCGTGGAGCCCGAGGAGCCTGATGAGCCGTTGCCCGGACGAGGAATTTAGAGGTTTAGGGAATTTATAGGGTTTCGGAAGTTTGGGGTTCAGTGAATTTAGGGTTTCGGAAGGTTTGGGTTTTAATTCGGAAGTGTAGGGTTCAATTGCGGGGTCAAGCTTAGGGTTTCGGAAAATTTAGGGTTTCGGAAGTTCAGGCTTCAGGGCTGTCATGGTTCAACTGAGATATTGGAGGGGTCTTCTTCTGCGCTGAGCATCTCAGGCCCGTGCAGGACTCGCCAACTCTGCTGCCCGGTCTCTACATCCTCCTGCGGCCTGCCTTCGTGTGCCTCGGCGGAAGGGCCCTCGGCCTTTCAAAGATCCCTACAATATACAAGACTGTAAGACAACATTCAATACTAACAATACTATAATTTACTATAACCGCCTATAATCTACTTTAACATATTGCGATATACTATTCTATCATATCATATCCTTAGGCCGCTGTTTGGCTCCGTTGCCAGGTCACCGGAGGCCAAGATCTTCGCACCCGAGGATGACGAGCTCGTTGCGGAGCTCGACGAGGGCCAGGCCGCGATCGGCATTAGGTTTAGGGTTTAGGGTTTTAGGGCTTTGGGTTTAGGGTTTAGGGTTTTAGGGTTAAGGGTTTAGGGTTTAGGGCACACTTGGAGCTCATGTTCGTGCGAGTGAGCACGCAGTTCTGAACGGCCGACATTTAGCATTTTCTAGCATTTGTTTGCACTATCTCGCTTTTCCTTATATTTTCTAGCATTAGCTATCACTGTCTAGCCTTTTCGTGTTTGGCCTAGGGGTTGCGTGTTAGCTTTGAGCAGTTTGTCGAAAAACATCCGTCCGGGCCCTGGCTGGTTTAGTGTTCAGGGTTCACAGTGTCGGGTTGTAGTCTTGGGACTACGCAGTCTGTTGTGTGTCCGGACAAGCTTTTTCATTCCTTCCACCAGCATAAATGACGAGCACGTGGGCAAAGGAACTATCTAGCTTTTTATTTCCCTAGGTTGCTCTAGCCACCCTGGTTGGGCTAGATTTTCCTGTGGTCCTGAAGATGACGGCCGCGAAATGACCACCAGTGTTTCCTTTGATTTCCTATGAGTTCAAGCTTTCGAACATGGGGCATGGATCCGCGGATCTTCTTGTGGGTACAGCGCAGTGAAACAATGCTGGGGCATGGCTACCGGTGCTTTGTGGGTTTGCAGCACTCCAAAGTCAAGAAATGGCCATCCATCCGGAACAAGAGCATGTACAGACATGCACATGTGACATGCGTTTTCGTTTGTGGTTTTGCTTTATCATCACATCCTCGCGGATGTAGTCCCTCCCACACCGGAGAAATCTAGATGTTGCAAGCCACATGGAGGAGATCGAGGTGACAGAGATCATCGACTTTGAGTCGGAGAAGCGTCTGTGGATAGCTTAGAATAGGGTTTTGGGGCCCGTTATACTATAATTATGATAAGGAACCCCCCAAATAGTATAGTATAGGTAATTATTTAGGCTTATATATTACTAGCTGAAGAGCACTTCCGTGTAGACTTGGCGCCTGACCACCTCGAGAAGTTGTAGTTTTTGTTGGCCAGTACGCATACGATACTATACAGTACAGTACAGTGCGGCACAGTACGGCACAGTACAGTGTAATGTACTATAGTATAGTGTGGTAGGGTAGGGTAGAGTACAGTCTGGTACAGTATAGTACAGTATAGTATATAGTATAGTCTAGTCTAGTCTAGTCTAGTCTAGTCTAGTATAGTATAGTATAGCATAGCATAGTATAGTGTGGTATGGTATATAGTGTAGAGTATAGTATGGTACAGTATAGTATAGTGTGGTATGGTATATAGTATACAGTATAGTATGGTACAGTGTAGTATAGGATGGGTCCTACATGGATGGCACCAGCTGTTTTGCCACATAAGGCGTGGCAAGCTAAAGGATCCAGATGGCTGGATTACGTTGATGACACTTGACTGCAAGAAGCCGGTTTCAAACCTTTCAGACATTCATGCCATGCCCATGTGGGGTTGACTCTGCACATGCCAAGGAGCAAGGCGACTGGAGCAAAGTGGGTTTCTGCTAAGGCTCACCGACATGATCGAACACTTTTGGAAGCCTTAGCGAAGTTTTACATGGGCAAGTTGAAGTCATGTCTCAACGAGCAGTAGTGCCACCACGGCATTCGAGCCACCGCGTATTGCAGGTTCTTCCGGAGGATGCCGACTACACAGGCACATCGGCACAGTAAGGGTCTGTCGAATGATGCATGTGCGAGACTTAACAACTTCACATGGAGAAGAAGCAAGTTCCGAGGAAACTTTACTATACTATACTGTGCTATATATACTACACTATATACTGTATACTGTATACTATATATACGATATGCGATATACTATAGATTATATACTATATACTATATACTATATACTATCGGAAGGTGATGGCGAAGCCTCGGAGGCAGGGGAAGATCGAACGCCGCTCAGCCGACGGGTTTCCTTCCACGAGCTCCGGCCTCGGCTCTTGGCTCGGGGACGGCCCCCAAAGGGGCCAAGCCTACTGTAGGGTTTAGGGGTTTAGGGTTTAGGGGTTTAGGGTTTAGGGTTTAGGGTTTAGGGTTTAGGGGTTTAGGGATTTAGGGGTTTAGGGTTTAGGGGTTTCGGGGTCTAGGGGTTCGGGTACTGCAAGTTTTCATGATCCTTTGATCAGACTTCGAATTCCGAGTGCAATCGCGCAGCGCACAAGGTCCGAGCCGGCGGATGGCGACTCCGACCCGGAGGACCAAGGTTGGGCGTTCTCACCTGTGGTTAGTAGGGAATGGAAGAATGGTAGTAATAGTAGTTATAAAGTTATAATTTCTACCTTATAAAGTTATAATTTCTACCTTATAAAGTTATAATTTCTACCCCATTCCTCCATTCCCTACTAACGAAAGGTAAGTGTTAGACAACTCCAGGCTGCATCCTTGCGCGTCCTCCGGTCTGCCGAGAGGTGACATGGAGGCCGAGGAAGATGCCGGCACCGAGCCTGCCGAGCCTGGGACGGGGCCTCTGAAAGAGCTTCTTAGGCCCTGAGAGAGGTAGAAGGCTGTGAGGTTTTGTGTGCTGCGTGCTCTTGTGAGGCCGAAAGGGCGGCGCAAGCTCTTCGACGTCGGCCTCTACGTTCTCCGGCGCCCGGCCTTCGTGTCCCCCAGGGCGGAGCTCTTCGAGCCCGATGACGACGAGCTCGTCGCAGAGCTGGAGGAGGGCGAGGCCGGGAGCACAGGAGAAGGCACCCAAAGACGCTCGTGATCGTGCAGAAGTGACCGAAGGAAATCGAGATAGTGGAGGTTGTGGACTTCCGAAATTTGGGGCGAGTGTGGCGGCCCGAGCGTTGCATTGACAGAGCTGGGAGCAGGCCACGTCATGGAGTTGTCGGCTTGCGTTGGAATGGCACCACAGAGCAGAGCAGAGCTGTCCCAGAGTAGATCGCGGTGTCGTGGGTGCGACCGGCTTGCATGTGAAGCCCGTGCAAAGCCCGTGCAAGGCGTGGGAAGCTAAAGTCGCCGGAAGGTTGGATCACCTTGAGGACGCCTGACTTTACCAGAGTTGCTCCAATAATGCCACTTTCCACACCGTCGGAACAGCGTTCGAGGAACTCTGCGACCGGGATCAAATGGGTCGCTCCGAAGGCCGGGTCTTCTGACGATTCTGACGCCACTATAATATGTCATGTGCTACATATTATATTATATGGCTACATGCTACATCTCTACTCAAAACTCCCCCCTCCAGCTCGATTTCCCCTTCCGATTCTGTGCCCTTGCAGCTGCCAGGACGAAGGCGCCAGCCTTTCGACTGCAACGAGTTTCCCTCCCCTTTTTTTTATAAGGGCCGACATGCTTACAGTGCCTGGTAGCAGCAAGTCGCAGCTCTACTTTTCGGCATAGGCCTATATTCGCTAAGCTGTCAAACCTAAGCGGCTCAGAGGTGACCAGGCGCACGACTTGGAGCAGGAGCTTGTTCTGCTCTTCCTAAAGCTTCATGGCCAGAGACCATGCCCTCGTATGATACGGGTGCCGAGTGCTGAGTCTGTCTTACGACTTCTGGTCGTTCGCTGTACGTAAAAGGAAGCCATTTGGGCCTGCCGCACTCGAATTGGCTAGCAGGGATTTTGTACGTGGCTGCCAGGATCCGCCGCCTTACCCGAAGGGATTCTACATTCTTGTGCGATCTGCATATGTTGCGTACGATGCCGACAACTTCGCGCCTGACGACGACGAGCTTGTTGCAGAGCTGGAAGAGGGTGACGACGCTTTGCGCAGCAACAGCCATGCACGTCGCCTGTGCGCCAGGAGTGATGTCTGAAAAAGAACGATCCAAATGATCCAAGGAAGTCGAGATTGTGGAGGTAGTCGACTTCGTCGAAGAGGAGAGGGTGTTCCCAGCTTAGCACCATGTGCTGTTCAGAAGTTCTGGCAGCCACTTGTAGCCTCCGGGAACACATGCTTGGACCCAGGCGTGGCAGGCTCTACGATCCGGATGGGTGGATTACCTTGCTGAAACTTGTCGAATTCTGGAAGACTGCGGGTCAGAAGAACGCTGCCTCTGAATGAGGAACAGAGCCACCGGAGCTGAGTGGGTCACCCCGAAGGCGAAGAGTTGAAGGGGTGCAACACGCGGGTAGAGGGCACGGCTTCGTGTGAAAAGCTGCACGAGCCATCGCCAATGTGCCCGCGGACGACAACAGAGATGTTCCAGCGACAGTTGACAAGAGTAGTACTGCACATGTCAGGTAGAGGTGGATGCTGGCAGCCGAGGCACGTGGAGTTACATTGCATGTGGTTTGTATGATCACTGCATGCATGCATGTACGCATGCAGGCTCATGCCAAATTCATATACATGTAAGCAACTTGCATGAGCAGCATCTGTGTACTATGCGAGACTGTATGATGCATACATGTCTGAGAGTATGTCAAAGTATGTTTAGATATCATGCAGTACAGTTTAGTATAGTATAGATAGTATAGTATTGTACTGTACAGTAGTGTATTCTATACAGTACAGTACAGCACTGTACGACACTACTGTATACCGCGCTATAGTATACCTTACTGGATTATACGAATACAGTATTCCACTATAACAGCCATGATTTACCATGTTACAACATGCTATACTAACTAGACTAGACGATATTCCACCATAACACATTCTGCCGTCAGAGGACATGGTAGAGCCGAGTAGAGCAGAGTATATTTGCAATGATGCTTGCGATACTCTACCGTAAATGTGTAGCGGAATGTATTTACTGCAGCATGATGAACTGTAACACTTCAGTGCCGCACCATATCATATCATAGCACAGTAGAGTACAGTGACGTAATGTAAAGTATAGTCTAGTATAGTATGCAGTACGGCATAATTCTGTGCTACAAGGCAACCTCTAACTTGCTTTATACACATACATGCGTAATATTTGTAGTATCATAACTTACCATGCATCAGGTACAAATGCGGCATAATTCGCTGCGTTATGACATGATAGGTTTTATTGTAAATTGATGCTATATTCTACGGCATGATATGACATGACATGTCACGGTAGTGTATGATATGACATGACATGAAGTGGCAGGTTGTGATATGAGATGTTATGACATGTTCTGGTGAGATCACAACATCGTATCATACCATACCATGTCACATCACATCGCATCATGTGCTTATACGACTGCTTATACGGTCGCATGTATTGATGTCCATATTTGTCTGTTGATTTATTTGTCAGTTTATGTCTTGTGTAGTTCTATATCTGTTTATCTGTACATAGGTATACACATACATACATACATACATACATACATACATATACATATGCAAAGGCATATGCATATGCATATACATATGCATATGTATTTACATATGTATGTGTGTATGCATACATGGATGTATGTATGTATGTATGTATGTATGTATGTATGTATATACTCATGCTCAAGAATATGTATGGCTTTGTGTGCATGCAGTTTACAACACTCGAACATGCAGGTAAATGTTTGCCAACACATGCTGGTGTCAGTGTGTGAGGTGTATGTGAGTGTGTGCAATGCAGCAGCTCCTGTATCTGGTTTAGCACGAAATTAAATTTAGTCTACAGACGTGCTCCTCTCTCTGTCTTTCTTGTTTCATTTTCTCTCTGCTTCGCTCTCGCTCTCGCTCTCTCTCTCTCTCTCTCTCTGATGTTCTCTCTCGCTCTGTCCCTTTCTGCCTGCCCACCCATGCCTGCCGGCCAGCCTGCTTGCCTGCCTGACTTCGTGCATGAAGGGATGCACGTATGTGTGGGGGCTTCGCTGCTTGAGTGTCCGTATGCAAGAATCGAAGCAGGAAAGGGCTGTGTGTGCTCTATTGTGTTCCTGTTCGCCATGTTTGTGCGTAGGCACGCGTGTATGTATGTATGGATGATTGTATGCATGTATGTATGTTTGTATGGGTGCGATGTATTGGCGTATGCACATACGTATGTACATATGTATGTACATATGTATGTACATATATATATATATATAGATGTACATATGTATGTGCATATGTATGTACATATGTATGTTATGCATGTATGCATGCATGTATGCATGTATGTATGTATTCCGAAACAGGATCTTTTGTTACCGTTGCCGGTGGTAAGTCCAGCAAAGCTGCACCTCAACAGAGGCCCCAGATTCTGGACTTTGCCTGAGCCAGGTGAATCTGACGATGATTACTCCTACTCGGAAGATGAGGATGGAAATCCGCGGCCGAGGCGCTGTAAGGGATCCCCGAACTCGCTGTAACTGTAGCCCTTTGAGGATGTCTCTGCAGTCAATGTCTGCAGGCGGCAGAGGATGGCATATGACGTGGGAGAGCATCTTGAGAGCAAGTCCATGTCTCTCTACTCTTGAAGATTATTCCTGAAGCCCTTGTTTCGGTCTGTAGTGCTTTCAGCAACGACATCTTTCTATCTAGCTGTGGAATCGGGGCAGCAGGTTTGGTAAAGCAACCAAAACAGCAAGGCTGGACAGGATCAAGCATGAAGGTGTCTCGAGACCAACTTGTCGGCATGTATGTTACTGGACTTGTGATGGGGCTTTGGGCTGCTTAAGGTACATCTTGCTGCGCCCAGCTTTCGTTGCCCGCGATGCGAAGACCTTTGACCCTGCAGCTTCGCTGCATGCGTGGGTTCCTTTGTTCTGAAACTTGGTCTGTAGAGATCGGAGGACAAGCATCTATGACCAGACCCCACGAAGCAATCCATCTTGAGTAGCACGAAGAGTGAGGAAGGCAGGATGCGAGAAATGCCTGAATAGCGCAGGATGACGATGAGGTCGTCGAGGAGCTCGAGGAAGGCGACTGTTGCTGGATGTGCCGTGGGGGTGTCACGGGTTGTGATGAGGCGACTTCCAAGGGCCCATAGCTCGCTTGGCGCATCGTATGGCTGTTGCAGGCCAAGAAGTTCGCGCGGTAGAAATCGTGGAGCTGAAGGAAGAGAAACGAGTGTTCCGAGCTCAGAACTTCCGTTTGAAGGCTCGGCTCTGTCGTGGTTTGGGTGGCGCGGTGCATGGACAGAGTGATGGAACGCTGAAGCCGTCTACCTGTGGATATGCATTTCCCCCACCTCAGTAGGTCCCAGTATGATTGCACTCCGGTGCACTGGTTACTGAAAGCTTTTTCGCAATGTTTTGTACCTTGCTGTCAATGCGGTTTTGCCCTCATCAGAACTCAGGCGAGCTCGTCTCCATCAGCCGGACCGCCCGGCCGTAGAATGTGGTTTAGTTGAATGTAATACGTCCATTCAGCCTGTAGTAGAGCCCAGTCTCGGGTACAGTAGAACTGGGTAGTGCTCTGCAGTATGCTGTTGCTGGTATTCGTGAGCCAGCACACGCCGAGCCTTTGAACGGTGACTTTGCAGTCTCTGAAGATTCCCAAGCATCCCTGAAGTCAACCAGTGCACGCTTTCTTTAGGCGAGGTATGGCGAGGTGCTTTAGTGTTTGACATCGCGTTTGGTTGTGCGGCTCTGGAGGACGGCTGGGTGACCTTTGCCAACACTGCGACGGGCGTCCGCAGAGTCGTGGCCAAGGAGGAGTGGCTGGAGACCCGCACGGCAACTCGACGGCAACGAATCCACTTCACACATGGTCACCCGGGGAAAGTCGCGAAGCGCTTGGTGGAGCTTACCGCGTGTCCGTAAAGTGTTGGTCTTCTGAGATGAAGAAACAACTAAAAGAGCCAATGCCATTCTGAGGCCGAGTCCTGGGCTTCTGGCGATGTGGGTGACTTGTTCGCATTCTGTGCCCGAGAGAGCGGGGTCCTCCCGGTGTTTTCCTTTTCCGAAGACTGTGCAGCGAGCTTTGGGCGAGCGTGGAGAAAGCTAGCAAGTCGAACCTCGGCGATCGCGGCTCAGGTGGTGAGGATGAGGAGGAGTCAGACTCTGCCTCCGAGTCAGAGCGGCGTCGGCCTCAGATAAATCAGTAGCTCAGAAGGATGGTGGAGTGCAGGTTCGTCGGCCTCGCTTATGCGAGGTCAGAAGATACCAGGCAAGCACGGCGAGTAGTTCACCGACACCTGGCCCCGGACGAGCTTTGCTGTGGGTTGGGCTCTGTCCCCTTGTCGAACTTTCGTTCTGGTTTCGAAGAGGACTTCCTACTAAATGGAGTGATTGCCACATTGGCAAGAGATCATCTGCCAGCCTTCCAAGGAAATTCGGGAGACATGATCCCTTCTTTCGCAGATGTGGGGACGGTGCACACGGACGGCGATCTCCTCAGTCGCTCCAACCAGGGTAACCTGGCATGCATTCTGAGGGCAGGGGAGATGGCTTTTGTACCGACCTTATGCCCGATGCCAACCCCACAAGCATGATGAGGGAGTATCAGAGTATCACGTAGTCTTTTTTACCCTTCTTTCGGCTTGCGCTGAAGCCCTGAAGCTCGAACAAATGTAGCAGATTTCCAGGCCCCGCACCCTCAAAACCCAACCCTGAGGACGGGATCTGCGTTGTGTCAAACAAGAATGGATATGAATGAAGCCCTAAACCCTAAACCTTAAACCCCGAACCCTAAACCCTGAAGCCTCAATGAGGAGAGCTGGCACCCACACCAAAGTTCAAGCAGCTCTATCCAGACGGCCGGCAGGACACTTGATGGCCGCCCTGAACACTGAACCCTAAACTCCAAACCCTAAACCCTAAACCCTGAACCCTAAACTCCGAACCCTAAACCCTGAACCCTAAACTCCAAACCCTAAACCCTAAACCCTGAACCCTAAACTCTAAACCGATTTCCATCCTCTACGCAATCCTGGCAGGACTCGAGGAGGACGCAGTCGGAAGCTGACGAGCAAACCGATGATGAAGATCCCTCCGAAGATGAGCCGGAGTAAGTAGTTGTCTTCAGCAGAAGTGGGTGATCTTTAAGAGGGACCCACGGATCATTGAGCAGCCAGCTCCGCTTCCGTATTTGGAGGGGGGAGGGGGGCCTGTCTTTTGCGAGCATTTAAATCTTGTCATGGGTTCCGTTTAGGGGCCACAGACACGAATTTGAGTTGCATTTGCCGGTAGTGACCTACTGCATCACAGAACCTGAACACACTGACACACTGACGTCGGGCTGCAGGCTCGGATTCTGAATCCAATGCTTCTAAACTTTGTAAACAAATTGTTATGCATTGTTCATCAGTGGTCATTCTGCCGTGCTGCCTTTGTTGACAGCCTTCGCAGTGTGCCATTGCCAAAGTGCTGTACTCGGCAGAAGTCGTTTAATATCCTGTCGCGCGCGGTCACGCGTCACCGGTCTGAAAGATCAGTACTGGCGACGCTAGCAGTGGTACCGCAGTCTACTGCGGCTGGCATAACTTGCCAGGCAACTTTAAAGACCCTGCAGCTCAGCACACGCCAGGTGTTGCCTGGCGCAAAGTGCAAAGCGCACGAGGGTCTCCCAACAAAAAATCCTGGTAAGACAGATGCAGGTGGAGTTCGGGATATTTTGCTATATGTTCGCGAAGACGCGCTTTCCGCATCTGTGGGTCAAGCATTGAGGGCCGTAAGCTGCAGCTCAGCAGACATGTGGAATGCTCCTGCTTGTTGTGTGTTGGTGAGAAAAATTTTTCGAAACTCTGAGAATATGTCCTCGACAAGTACTCCGTACTCGTAATGTCGATGATCCACGGCAGCGGTAGTATGAGGCCCGGCTACTAGAAGCACCAGCCAGAGTTTGGCTACGGCGGGTAGGCTAGACAGTCTCACTTGCAGAATGCTATGGGCCAGACAAGCCCCTTCCCAAACTGCCGATGCCCGCCGCGTCTGGCAGTGGACGGTGGAGGGGAAGGCTGTGGTTGAAACTCATGGAAGCCCACACAGACCATGCAAACCAACACCTCGTCATTTGACATCCTGTGCTGAGAAGGAGCTCACTGCGTGTCTCAGATCTTGCGGTGTTCCACAACCGATTCTAGCTCATCTGGAGCACCGGAAGCCAGGCAGACTAATTCTTCTTTCATGTTCGGTAGACGCTGTGCTCCGGTGACCGTGCAAAACCATCATCGTGGTAGTATGATCAGCTGGTTAGCACTCCCATCCAAGGGCTTGTTCGGGTCTTGGTGTCACCACCAAACCAGCTCTTCCGCTGCTCTGTGTGTTCAGTCTTGTGGTTGTCCGACCCTTGCAGTCACTCCCTTCTCAACAAGCCTTGGACTTTCTTAGACTTTGTGAGTCTCTATGAATTGCCTAAACCTTAGCTTGACTGCTTGCGCTCGGTCGTTCCGGTCACTAAGGAAGCTCAGCGACAGACTCCCACAGTCTTCGCCACCGCCTATTGGCAAGCACTTGTGGGCTCTTGGACGGGAGAGGAAGTTCCATTTGGTTGCCTGTTGAATTGGATTCAGTCTTCCATCTTGACTGCAAGTCATTGCTGAGACATGCCGCGACTGAGCTTCTGTCCTGTCGAGGATGAAGGGATGGAGGACGATTCGCTTCCAACCATGCAGGTGCAGGGTTGATAGTCGTCGCACAGTCTAAAGAAGCATGCTTCGTAGGATGGTCAGGTGCCAGGCAAGCCTGTGCAGATGTATGCACAATGTGCCTTGAATGTAGAGACTGCCCTGCAGGTCTTCGTGGAGCAGATGAACAGCGGCGTTCGCCTCATCCTGAGCTTAGATGGAATTGGCCTCGATGTGGACGCCAAGCTCGACCAGTCCTGGGAGACTTTGACGCTGGTCTTCAACGGCGTAGAGAAGACCATACGCCTTGGGGGCGTGCAGCATGTCTCCGTGTACAAGAACCCTGGCCCCTACCGGAGACTCGAGCAACTGGAGGCATCAAGCGACCCCTTCTGGGCAGTCCGTGCTTCGGCGCAAAACCCTCAAAGCTACGTCTATAGGCTGCGACAGTCGTGCTGCCTTGCAACCCAAAACTGCGGGTGCTCGAAGTACTTTGATCCAAGGCCTGGAACTGGAAGATGACCGTTTCTGCGAGTTCATCTTCCTCTCTCAAAGCGATGGGAAGTATTTTGGTCGCTGCCTGAACGTCCTCGTGGAAGCTGCGCGCCTGGCTCGCTTGAAGGCGCGTGGAGACAGGGCAGATGTCGACGCTTACCTGCAACGGATGTGGTTGGAGGTCTTGTCATGGGGACCCTGAGCAGAGGTCAGGGGGATGGGGGTAGGGGACTATACCTCCTTAAATCGGCCTTCTGAGGTTCTTATTACGGATTAAGCCCCCTACCCCTCTCCCCCCCTCGCCCCTCAAGGGTCCCCATGATCTGGGCTTAGGCACCACGTTCAGGGGCCCAGAATCTTGCTGCCCGCTGCGGGAGAGACACAGCATCAAGAGGGCTCTTGAATCTTCCAGCAGACAGCCGACGGTTCCACATAAATAGTTCTCTAAATTCGGGTCCCTTTTTATGTCCACAATATAGTACGGCACCCTTAATAGAAAAGGACCCGAAAAGGGACCCTAACTTAGAGAACTACCTACATATTGGAAGTGAGGACAGAGTGAGACTTGTTTCACAAGTGCCCGAAACATGCTCGCAAACATTTCCATCATCTATCGACGGCCCTTGACTTGAATTCCCTGAGCCTAGTAGCGGTGGTTCCAAAACTGATACCTCAGCCAACGGCCAGTTCGAGATGGACCACTACTTGTAGCGCAAGCCGTGATCACCAGCAGAATCAGTGGACTGTCCACAGATGGATCGTACGAGTCAGGTTTAAGAGAAGCACGAACGGTGGGTGTCAAAGCTCCAAAATTGGCAAAGCTTGCGCTGTCCTGATGTCCCGGAACCCTAAACCCTAAACCCTAGATCCTAAACCCTGAAAGCCTCAACCCTAAACCCCTAAACCCTAAAAGCCTAAACCCTAAACCTTAAACCCTAAAAGCCTAAACCCTAAACCTTAAGCCCTAAAAGCCTAAACCCTAAA